TGGGACAGTGGCAGGGAAGCAGTCAGGAGATGGTGTCACTTTCCCGCAGCCTGTGCCAGCTTCCTTATCTGCAGGGTAAGGATCCCAATCCCACTTGTCTTGGATTCTTTGTGGTCAGGAAATTCAGCACTGGTTAGGCATTAAGCATAGCTTCCTGAACACATCAGGTGCTCAGTAAATGTTGGCTATGTTGAATAGGTATTTGTGGTCAAGTAGGAAACGTGGCTCCTTCCACACTCTTGCCCTCACATTTTTCATACCCCATTGTATTCTTTCTGCTGCTGCCTTCTGAGCTCAAACCACACTGTATTCTTTTAAATTTGTTTCAAAGAAGCCACGCCTTTCCCACCTCAGGGCCTTTACATGTCCTGCTTCTCCGCCTGCACTGTCTTTCCCTAGCTAGTTGACATTCATTTCGGTGGCACTTTGGATTTGTCAGGAGACTTTCTCTGAAATCTGTGGCATTTGCTTCTCTCCCCCACTGGAACATTTTAGAAGTACTCGGGTGATGGTCAGAGCACTATTTTCCTTCCCAGTGGACTGTAAGCTCTGGGAGAACTTGTCATTGCCCCCAAACCAAGCGTGCACACAGACACCACCGCCTGGGCTGGCCTCTGCCACGCTCCTGGTAGCCATGGGGGGCGGTCACCATTCCTCAGAGCTGAGGCTGCTAATCAAGGCCATCCCACCTGGGGTGGCATCTAGAGAGGAGAACTAAACGCACAATTCAGTTTAAACATTGCATATTTGGGGGGACTGTGATGAGGACCAGGCACTTTTATTTGGCTTTGGAGGATCTCAGCAAGACTCACTCACGTGGTGAGCAAGTGGAAACTCACAGTCGCCCCGGGGAAGGAAGGGCCGTTAGTCCTCCAGGTTTTCACTGGAGAACACATCCTGGTGTGATGGGGTCAGGCTCCTGCCACTGATAAAGGAAAACCCATTGCGTGCCCCTGCTGCCCCCGACCTTCCAGGATTAGGTGCAACTGGAAGCTAAAGAAAAAAATGATTAAAAAAAACAAACAAACAAAAAAACCCATCTGAACAAAACCCGAAGAGCTACGCTGGCTTCCGTAACCGCTGGCTTCATCCAAATCAAAGACCACAGCATTTGCCAAGAGAATTCTTGCAACTTCTCTGGTTTTGGTGATTTCTTTTAAATTAGCGGGTGCACACGGAAATCCAAGAGATGCTAAGACAATGGGGACACAGAAATGAAGGTGGGAGTGGTTGCCACTTGCTATGGCGAATTCTCTCCCCTCAGTTTGGGGCAGAGTTGTGACTAGTCACCTGCAACCTACCGCCCAGGGCTGCGTGTGGGTAGTTATTGGGTTCCTCTTCGCGGAGCTATGGAGTCTCCTAATTCATCCTCCACGAGGATTCCCAAGGCGATGGGCAATCCCGCACTTGGTGTTTGTGAGTCTTGATTTTCGGGATTTCCTGTTGCCACACGAGAGATGACAAGCTTAATTTGTACCTCACGCTTCTACATTTTTTAATGCGTTGTCCTGTATTCTTGGCAAGAGAGGAGAGTCTGTAATTTAGTACTTAAAAGGAACTGAGGGAAATGTCTGTCACTTGGATGCAATTTATTTTATTATAATTGTAAATGTGTCACAGATATTAACACAACCCGAGCCTACTTTGGATTGCTTCTTGAGAGGCAGATGGGGTGACAGTGGTGACGGGGAAAGGGTCTTGCGTCCGGTGATGCACATTCAAATAACATCTCTCTACTCACCAGGCGGAGGTCTTCCCTGGAGTCTAATTGTTGATAAAGTCACCTGCCTCAAAGAACAGGGATTGGACCCAGGAGTGCTGGCATTGGGTCCACCACATTTTAAAATGTGGCTTGTGGCTTCTGAATAGGACATTGTAGCTCTACAGGGTTGATAAGTCCTCGTTTCCTTCTCTTTGTCTTCTAGAAAAAGTTTAAGAGTCTTGAGGCAGATGGGGGTAGCTGCTATGGAGAATCGGGAATCTGCTCTCACAGTTCCTAAATGTATTTAGCTGTGAGAAAAACCTTAGCACAACTGACGATGTCCTAGTGGTCAATCATGTTTTCATAGCCTTAAGCAATATGGTTCTGATAAGGAAAAAAAATGTATTCCTTGATACTAAAAGCAGGCATTCACATCAACTAATTCTGCAAAATACAAGCAAATGAAGCTTGAAAAATAAATCCATAGTGCTATTAAATTTAGTTGGCCAAAACTTGGGGTCCTCATACCCGTCAGAGTCCATGAGTAGGTTCCAGGGTTATGTCAAGTGTCTGATATTAAATGCCATCAATGATGTATTATTTGCTTTAAGTACATTTTTTTTTTTTCTCCTGCAGAGGGAATCCATAGCTTCTATCCAATTCTTAATGAGCCCAGGAACTATGGTACAGGCAGCAGGGCTGGTAGAAAGACCTGTTGCTCACAGTGGTCGCTGTTTACACAGGATGGAGGGTTGCACATCAGTGACCATGGAAGGGTAAATTGTCTCCTCGCTATTACCCAGGAAAATCCCTTGACTCGCCACCAGCTCAGTGAGGCTTGCACAGGGAGGCATTGGGGAGCTCAGGTTGATTGAAGAAGTGGCAGGTTCATGTTTGCGGGCTCGTGCTCACCCTGGGGCAGCCATTTGTGATTGAGGGTATGGGATGGAATGTATTGAAATAGCCCCACACCCAGGAGCATCCTCTGTGCAATCAGAGACATGGGGCTGGGGGCTGAATTCCAGTCCCAGTTTGGTTATTAATGAGCCTCACTGAGTTTCCTTGCCTCCTCCAGTTCTCGTTGGCAGAGTGATTATTTCTAAGGGGTGTCTCAACTTTTTAAGGACTGGATCTGAATTAAATTGAGACCTCAGTTTGCATTTCAAGTTGTGAGCAGGTGTATCTAGCTGATTGAGTGATTTGAGACAGAAGTTGGAACCCAAGTATCTAGATTGGGATTTGAATGCCTCTGGCTTCATTATTTCCCTGTACTTTTCCCTAAGCACATGGGCTGGTCCCTAATTCCAGAGGTACGTGGGAAGCCCTGATCAGAAACCCTTCTGCTTGATTCTCATACCCCATGACTCTTGGATATTTTGCTCTGGTGGGCTTTAGTGACAACACCCAGGAGAGGGAAGCTATTCGCCCCTCCCGCCAAACAGATGCTCATTAGAATTGTGTAGCGGGATTAGTATGTAAATTATGTAATTACCACCGGGTATGGTAGTGTACACCTGACATCCCAGCAGCTTGGGAGGCTGAGGCAGGAGGATCACTAGTTCAAAGCCAGCCTCAGAAACTTATCAAGGCCCTGTGTTAAAATATAAAGGGCTGGGGATGTGGCTCAGTGATTAAGCACCTCTAGGTTAAAAGAAATCATGTCATTACCTTAGTAATTTTAGTGGTGATAAATATTTCAGTATCTCATTTTCATGAAGTTATTTTATTACAAGTGTAACTACCAATGGGTTTTAAGATTCCGGCCCCAAAGGAAGGATGGGGGTTTTAATGGGTCTTTGGAAAGAAATTGATGTCTTAGATATCTAAAATGCCTTGCTGTTTCAATCCAAATTTTAATGTGAGTAAAGCAGATATCTGGTATCATGCATACTCTTGCTAATCTTTATTTTTCAGTAGGTATTATAGTGGCAATTAGTGTAAAGGGAACAATTGGTAGCAGATTTATTACATAGGCTCTTGGCGGTGATTGTGGTCTGAAAGAGGTCACTTTTGAAGCCCACCCACTTTGGTGACCCCTTTTAATGTATGAAAATACTGCCCAATTTGCAGATTTACCATAGAAATGGAAAGTTGGACAAACTCACAGGCAGTAATGATTGGTGTAAACCAAAGAAATATCAGTTTACATGGCCCCAACTGCTAAACTTGTTCATAACCATTCATATTGATAGGACATTGGGCCAGGGTGAAGCTTGCTGTCAGTCAAGCTGTCACAATGCAGGACTCTATGGATGGTGTATTTGTGGCCTTATTCAGTGCTGTTATTTCCTGATTTACTTATGTCATTGGCTTCTAGGCTGAAAGAGCTGAATTCTTCCAAGGTAGCAGGTCGTACAACCAAGGGAAAAAAATAGACACTGCAAAAGGCTTTTATTTTGTAGGCACCACTGCAAAATGAGGAATCACATCAAAACATATCAAATAGAAAATAATAATTTATTTTAACTTCATTTTACTTAGTGTTTGTAACTAATGGTGATTTCATGAACTTGCTTGTATAAGTCTGTACCTTCTGATCTACAAAGCAAAGGCTGACTACAATGAACACTTAAAATTTCACAAACCATCTCCATCGACAACTTTCCTGTACATGCAAATCTTCCAATAGGCTGCAATATTTGCAAACATGCTTTAAACTTCCATAAAGCTGCAGGATATTTTGCTTTCTGCTAAGACCTTTACACTCTCTTAGGAACCTTCACCAGAAAACTGTGTCAATGTATCATTCCAAGTCTAAGTAGTGCTGGTTTGATTATTGTTATTAAATCCTTAACCACAGAAGTTGGTGGTTTTGAGTTGAAACCTTGACCTACATATATATTAATGGTCATCCGTATGAAACACATTCAGCAAAGTAAGGTTATAAAATAGGATTCCATTAAAAATACATACCGGCAGTTGTATTTGTATTTTAGGCAGGAAAAAAAAGCGTGTTTAACTTTTTTTTTTTAATATGAATATAGTTTCAACAACTTATTCTGTGAAAGTATGCGTAATAAAAGATCTTTTTGAAATTTAAACACTTTATGTAAAAGGTAACAAGTAAAAAAGTACAATTGCTATTTGAAAAAAGCTGTTAGTATTGCCTTCAACGACGGTAAAGGGTGTAATTTTACCTGCACTGAAAACAGCGGTGACAGCCCAGTCGCAGGTGTGGCAGACTGAGACCGTAAACAGGATGACTGTCTTATATACAACAATGTGCCGCATTGAACGAGGCAGGAATCTCCACCCCGCGGTGGTGGTCACTCCTATGAACAGCGCGCGGAGGCGGGCATTATACAGTAGTCACGGAGAGGAAGGAATTGTACACTCTGGTGCCATCGGGGGACTTGGTGCCGTGCGTCAGGAGTTCCTGGATGGTCATCCAGTTGTCGAAGATCTTCTTGTTCCTCTTCTTCATCATCTTCTTGTGGCTCAGTTCCAGGATGCTCACCTCCTTCCTCTCCTCGGCCCCCTGCTGCTCCCTCAGACAGTCCAACCTGCTCTGCATCATGAACTCACGCCTGCGCCGCTGCTCCTTGGCCTTCACCAGGTGCTGCTTGCGCTCCTCCTTGCTCCAGTAGCGGCCCATCTTCATCTCGCTCAGGTTGTCGTCGTCCGTGGTCATGCCGCTGCGCTCCTCGCGGATCTTGAGCGCACGCTCCCGCAGCAGGCGGTCGCGCACGGGCCGCTTGGTGATGTAGCGCGTGCCGTCGCTGCGGATCTTCACCTTCCACTCCATGCGCGGCTCGGAGGAGGTGGCGGAGGTGAGGTCCTTGCACATGCTCACCAGGCTCATCTGGCTCTGCGCATACTCCACGGCCGACTTCTGCTGGATGAGCTGCATGTAGCTCTGGTAGTGCTGCGCGTGCGCGGGGATGTGCGCGTGCTTGTAGGGCGAGTGCGGGGCTGAGGACCGGCAGGCGGCGCGCAGCGGCGGGCTCCTGCTGCCCTCGGCCCTGCGCTCCGAGCCCTCCAGGGCCGGCCCGAGCTCAGGCTCTTTGGCCGAAGGGCTGTAGAGTGGGGCGCCGACCTCGGGGTCTTCGGTGATGGCCAGGAGGTGGGCCTCGGTGCCGCCCTCGGCCGCCCTCCGCAGGGAGTTGTCGGGGGACAGCTCCAGGGCGAGCGGGGTGCTGCGGCAGCTCTCGCCCGTGTTGTAGGCGCTCGAGCTGTCCTTGTCGGACTTCTCGGGCAGCTCGGTGATGTCGGCCAGCTCGCGCCGGCGCCCGTCCACGCTGGCCGCGTAGCTGCGGAAGGCGCCGGGCGCCAGCAGCCAGGGCTCCCGTGCCTGCTCCCGCAGCTGCTGCAGCCGGTGCGCGCGCACGATGCTCAGGCACTCGAGCTCGATGCTGCGCAGCTCCTCGTTGAGCAGCTCCAGCTCCTTGTCCACGCTCTCGGGCTCGCTCTTGGCCGCGTCGCACAGGCCGTAGGGGCCACCGCCCTGCACCTGGCACTTGAGCTCCAGCAGCTCGCGGAAGCGCTCGCACTCGTCCACCGGGATGCCCAGGTAGTCCACGTCCGTGCAGTCGGCCGACACGAAGGACTCGTTGCTGAAGGGCAGGTCGCCGCTGCCCAGCGTGTCCTGGCTGCACGTGAGCTTCCTCTGGCCCGCCAGCGGGTTGGAGGACGCCATGGCGTCGTCACCGTTGTTCTCCTGCTCTGAGCTCTCGTCGTTGCGCGTGCTCTCGTCTGTCCGCCCCACGCCGCTGTCCTTCTCGTGCTGGTTGGACAGGATGGTGGCCGTGTCCGTGGTCCCACCGTCTTCCTCGTGCTTCTTCTGCATGGAGAAAACAAGAACACCCTTGTAGGACAAGTGTTTCCGGAGGAGGCTGACAGTAGGGTGGGGTCAAGGGTGGGGCACTGGACAGCCCTGTCTATCTGGGCAACTTACCATTGTTTCCAGTGGGAATAATAATAGTTATTTCAATGAGTGAGTTTCACCAGTAGAGCAGTGCAGGGGTCCCAGGATGCACGAAGTGCTCATAGGGACTCAGTAAGTGGGACTGTGACCCTGACCAGGGGAGGGGCACAGGAGGTAGCTACTAGGCTCCCCCAAGCTCAGGTTCAACAGAGGGAATTGCTCAGTTTCAAATACACGGCTTGCTTGCTTTCCCGGAGTCTACGGGAATGCTGGCACCAACAGATATCAGAAGGGAGCTAAGCCCAGGGTGACTGCTCAGCCTTGACAGCTCGGCCAGGGAGCGTTGGACTTGCATTTCTCTCGCTCAGACAGACACGGGAAATGGCCTAAGTGCTTTCTATCTTCCAGGCGGGTGCATTTTGGATGCTCCTGAGCAGCAGGGAGGGAGGGAGGGGAGGGCATGTGCCTGCAGCGCTGCGGGATGTGGGCCGGCCCCCAGGTTACCTGCTGGAGGACACTGGCTGTGAACTGCATGGCCTGGTGGTGCTGCTCCTCCAGCATGTCCATGTGCAGGTCATCCAGGAAGTCGTTCCTGTCGTCGTCCATCCAGCCCTCGTCCAGCTGGGGAAGCGGCAGTGATTACAAGTTTCCTTGTGCTTTCCCTTTTTTACTAACAGTGGACATTACCTTGGGGACAATACTTCTAGGGCTCCCTCCAGGAGTCGTCATAACGCAGTGTTCCCAGTGTGCTATAGGTCAGAGACTTGCCCCTCCTCATGGTGAAGGGTGTGACCCTATGTCCATGAGGGGAGTCTCTATTGGGGAACAGGCCACAGGCAGATCTAGCTCCATGTCCTTGCTGACCCTGGTATGTGTTTCAGGCCCCAAAGAGAATCATCGTTAATGCAGAAAGTTCTTTCTGCTAAAAGTAGGTCTATGATGTACCTGTGGGCCAGGACGTGACTGTCACCAGGCTTTTGCCTTTCAAAGGCTGTACCGCATGGGCTTGCCTTCGGAGTTTATCAGAACACAGCCATGGTCATTTAGAACAGCTGGGCTGACCCCAGGTGAGGTGGCTACCCAGCCTTCCTCCAGCATCCTGACTCGGCTACTCTTTATTTTGCTGCCCCTGGAGTATTTTCCATTGAGGTTTCTGACCAAAATAGATCTGCTGCCCTGACTCAGAGCTAGAGGCATCTGCACAAGTTCATGGTCCCTGCCCCCGGAGGATGAGTGCAGCACAGCGGTTTCTGATCCAATTGCTTAGGGCAGAGTCCCTCTGCGCTCCACCACCCTGTGTCCTGGGCTCTGGGAACGTCAGTCTCCCAGGAAGGCCGACGGGTATGTAAGGTGCTCTGCACAGGGGTCCCTTGTTTCTTAGATGGTCACTGAGGGTTGGTTAGTATTTATCGATGTTTGTGTCCCTGTGCTCTGCTGTGGTAAACAGAGGCTGTGCCTAGCATTCTAGGCAGGACAGCTGTCCCCTCAGGAAGTCGAGCATCTGCTTGCTCCTGTCCTCATTTTCCATTTTGCTATGTTTGCCTTGTTAACATCCCTTCCCACCTGCAGTGTAGGGGCTGGGGCTGCTGGCGTCATCCTAAGTGGTTCCTCGATACAGTGGACTCCAAGTCACAGCAAGTTTAGTTATGCTTTCACATACTTGTCATTGCGGGGCTGGGAATGTAGTATCGCAAAGCCAGTTTCTTGTGGGGAAGCCGACTTACCTGGAGTTCCGGTCTTGCAATGAGCAAAGAAAAGTTCTTATTTTCTTCACTGGTCAGAAGAGCCACAGCCTCTTCGCGGTTCTGTACCTCTATCCCATTGATCTGAAAAAGCAAAAACAGTGGATAGTTGCATGATGAGCTGGTGCAAATCTACTTTATCCTGCTCAGGCCTGCACTGTCCCCCTCTCAAGCTGGAACATGGAACTTTCGTGTATCTCAAGTTGCTGCTTATAGAAAAGGAAGACCTGGTCCAAGAAGGATCCCTGTGGGTGGACATTGGGACTCCTGTGGAGGGCTGGGAAAGTCCTCCTGTTGCAGAGGGCACCAGGTCCAGGCAGAAATGGAAGATGATATTTTTGGATAATAGGGAGAAAAGGTGGCAATGAGTTTGATGAGACGTTTAGGGAGGTGGAAAGTAGAGAGGGGGATGGAGTGACATGGGGTGTTTGTGCCCCAGCTTAACACTAACTTCTTTGGAGTTGGAGTGACTGTCACCTTCACACCTGATAACCTTCTTGCACAGGGCTGGTTCACCTGTCCCAGAGACTCTGCAGGTCTTAGTTGCAGGGGTGTGGCTCCTCTAGGACATGTCCCTGAGTTGGAAGTTTCACTTCTAGGCTGACTTTGCCACCTTACAACAGGAGACCAACAGGCAGCAAAAGGAGAGACCACTGGTTGCTGTGACCAGTCCTAATGGCCCAGGGGCAGAAGGGCTGCTGAGACATGGTGCAGGCAGAGAAGACCAGGTCTGGAATTCCAGGAGGCCCTTGGGGCATGCTGGGGGCCTCTTTGCTTAATCATAAAGCTCAATGGAAAACTGCAGTGACCAGAAAGGGTGCTCTGCTGAGCGTTCTAGCCTTAGGCAGTGAAGGTGAAGGTCAGTTTTCCAGGGGAGGAGCCTCCAGCGGCTGGGGTTCTGGTGGAAGATGGAGGCTCAGCCAGGGAAGAAGGAAACCAGAATTATATAATGAGAGAAATAGACACCGTGGAGTAGAAGGGAAGAGGTAGCAAGCTAAGCCTGTGGGACAAAATGAAGTCAAGAGTCTCAACCTGAGATTAAAAAGGTTATGGCCAGAAGAGACCCGAATGGCCTCAGTGGCCTGGAGGAACAGCAGCACTCAAGGCCACGGTTCCACAGGATGGCTAAACATGGAGCCAGGAAATCTAAGACTTGCCAGTGAGGCCCCCATTTTAATGACGAGATGGAATTTTAGGTGCTTCATTCAAAACTAGAGCGATTTCCCCTGGCGCGCGCACAGACTGTGTCCCTCATGTCAGTGGTGCCAGGTCCTTGGCCCTGACAGATGCATGCAATGAGGTGTGCTGGCTTGTCCCCCAGGGCCCTCGCCAGGCCAGGTTTCTGGACCCAGTTCTTCTCCTCTCATGCATTTCAGCCTTGAAGTGAGTTTGTTCTTTGGTGACAGGCACACACTGAGGCCACCTGTTAGAAGCACACCTACCTGAATGATGCGGTCCCCTTCGCGGATGCGACCGTCTTTGGCCGCGATGCTGTTGGGATCGATCTGAAAGAGAGCAGACTTCTCAGCACCAACCCAGGGGTCACCTCTAACCCCGGGATGGTTACTCCTGTCTTGCACAGATAGGAGCAAGACTTTGGGCAACACTAACACACAGGAGCATGGGCCCATCTGCCTGAGCCCTTTCCAGAGTTGGTCTTAGATCCCTGCCTGACCGCCTTTGAACCTAGCATCGTCCACAAGCTCTTGAGACCTGAGGGGCATAAGGCAGCACAGCTCACTGGGGGAGCTCACACAGTAATTAAAATCAAATCACGGAGAACAGGTTCACGGTACCCGTGTCACTATGTTGATCAGCAACCATACCTTGATCATTTTCACTGAATGCTTATATTAAACTTGGGGGAAGTAACTTTAAAAATGGAAGGTAACTGACAGAAACAGGACTCGGGGTGGGAGGGATGCCCTAAAACACTGATGCAGAATTGGGGAGGGGTGGATATTCAACTGGATAATCAAAAAACCCAGAAAATGGTTCTCTTGGATCATTGCAGAGAGGCAGGGCTTCTGGGCCGGCTAGGGTGGGGGCGCACGGTTGGATCCGTGTTGAGATGGGCTCACTTGCACGGCTGCCATCTATGAACTTAGATAGCTTCATCTACATTACGTCCCAACAGATGAACTCGGCGATAGAGACCCATGAAGAGGGAGAGGGGGAGGCCGGTTTTTAAAAAGCGTGAACTTGAGTAGGAAATGGCAATCTGCCATTCCCTCGGGGCTGAACACACGAATCCATGTAAACGACTCCATTTTACGGCTGGTTTGCGGCTTGGGAAGGGCGATTCTGCCTTGGATGCTGACGGGAGAGCCTACTCCCCTCCCCTGCAAAGACGCAGGCCCTCGACTCCGAGGGAGACTGAGTAGGTGGTCTGCGTCTTTGCAGAGGCCCAAGGAGGAACCAGACTAGGGCTGGCAAACATGAGAGGGTCTCGTTCAAGGGCCTGGAAACCAGAGTTTGGACTGAGGAGCACGTACCTCACTGATGTAGATGCCGATGTCGTCCTCGTCATCCGTGCGATAGCACACGGTGAGGCCCAGCTTGTCCTGGCTGTTGATTCTGTACAGGTCCACCTCCTAGACAAAGAGAGGCACCCCCGTCAGGCGCCTGCAGGCAGCCCGAGCGTGTCAGACGCTTGGAAAATATTTTGTTTAAATGATGAACGGGATTTCTTTGCATCCAACTATGTAGAGCTGGTTTAACTTACTAAACAAAAAGTGATTATGGACACGGGATCAATGCCCTGGGCATTTCTGACCCTTCAGTCAATATAAAGTCATTTTGAAAATAGTTATTTTATTGATCCTCCCAAAGAAAAATTACCCATATTTCACTCAGTGTCAAGACCTCAGGGGTGGGGCTTTTAAAAAACATTCCCTCAATGTCAGCCACAAACAAGAGTGTTTCCAGACCCCGGGCCGGCCAGCCAGTGTGGTACCAAGGCTTCCAGTGGATTTGGTTAGGTGCTGCTTTCCCTTCACATGTCCCAGAAAAGAGGGGGACAGGATCCCACGCATCCAATGCTCTAGTGTTTCTGGTTGCAAAATAGTTTCATCTGCAAATTAAATGAAATGAAAGCAGAGGGAGCCAATGAGGAGCACACGACAGGAATGTCACTGGATGTGCCTGTTCTGTGTGCCCTTCAGGGTGAATTCAGAACTCTGAAGATTGAGACGGCTCTGGGAGGCTGCTCTGGGGTTTCTGAGAACGTAAACAGGCCAGGTCACTCGCCGCCCACTCTGCCAAGGACATGGGAAGTGTTTATAGCCACAGGACCATGGGAAGGGCCAATTGAGTTCCAGTGAGTGGATCCTTTGATCTGAATTTTAGTGTCACCTGCTTGCCAGCTAGGAGACGGGACGGGTTCTCAGCATTTTTTATGCCTGTGTCCCTAAGGATTGTTTCCAAGTGGCTTCTCTCGTGGCCCTTCTTAGAGGGTGAGGAGGGTGGAGAAGCTCAAAAGGGCCACTTGGCAGTCACCCCTGCAGCCGTCCCTTGTGAAAGACAGGGACACCTTCCTGGCATAAGATAGCAAATGCAAAGGCCCCGGGCCGGTGTGGTCAGAGTGCTCTCTGCAAAGGGAGAGAGGCGGGCTGAGTGTGGCCAGGGGACGGGTCACAACAGAGGAGGCTCTGCAGGCTAGAATGAGGAATGCAGATCTTATTCCAGCGTCCTGGGGACCCGGCCCACAGTGGCGAGTGAGGACTGCCGTGATCCAATTGGCTGTTAGTGGTCTCTGGATGATTTATAGAGTTCAACATGGTGAGGGATCAGGACGGTGAGGACGGGCAGACTGGTCTGCAAAGCCCAATCACCTCTTTCTAGAAGCTTCCTCACCAGCTTGTTATCCCCCATGAGCCTCTGCTTCCTTGCTACAAAGTGAAGAGTCAGAGGTGAGGCCCTCGGAGCCCTCAGCAGGTGGCTGTTTAATAACGGGCGCAGGTGTGCTCGCCTGGGGTTAGCATCGTGGGAGCAGGGAGGGCGGAGTTCAGTGCCCCTCCACAGGACACCTTGAGTTTATCTCCTGATCATTGATATGTTGACCCAACGACTTCCTAATTAAGCTCTCGCAACAGGGCAAACTCTCATTAAATGAAACCCTATTAACTTCTCATAATTTAGCTGCATTAGATAGTACGGTTACCAATGGGAGGAAGATTTTTAAGTGTGGGTTGAAGGGCCGCAGCTGACCACGAGGGCCAGCTCCTTCCCAATCCTCTGGAGTAACCCATTTTCCTATCACTAGTGGCCTAGCAAACCTCCCTGAGTAGCAGAGGCTGCGCTTCATCTAGATGGGGGCCACAGAGGGGGCTTTCTGGGTTGGAGTGTTCCTCGAGCTTGTTCTGGAGCAGTGAGAGTTCACTGGGCAAGCCGCCCAACGACCTCCGCCATTCCACGGTTTCAAAATGAGAAACTGCATTTGGGGACTCATGTTAAACTTCCCCAACTGCTTGGGTGGCTTGTAAATTCTCCACCTTTGTTTCTGCCTCGGAGTGGCTCGGTGAAAGCTGAGGTTATCAATACTTATCTGTCCGTGATAAGATTTCAGAGATGCCCATTAATCAAAGTGGTATGCATTATGTATCAAGTGTGATCTGGATCACCACCCCCTCCCATGTCCTGTTCCTCCCTGGGCTAGATGGACTGTTGGATAAAGAGCTGAGCCTGTTTCAGATAAAACCGACACCATATTCCAATTAGGGGATGGAGGTGGCGTCGCCCCAGGGTGATTCAACTGCTCTGTTTTAGCTCTGGTCACTGTAATCCTAGGGGACACCAAATGCTGATGTTAATATTGCAAGCAGCCCTTGACCTTACGGGTCCAGGAATGGTGTGCGCGTTCCCAGCGTGTCTGTCTGTGGACGGCGCCCTGTGGGATGTAGGAACGGGTCTAGCGACATGGCTGTTTCCCTGGGAGATGGGTGACAGCATCGACGTCTTCCTTCAGATATTTAACTGTCCATGCCAGACACTGGGCAGGAGGAATGGAAAGGCCAAGCTCTGGGGGCGCATGTACTCCAGTGAGGGCATCTGATTCTGTGTGGGGGAGCTGTGCATGAAGGGCCTGTTTTGCAGGGGGCAGAGCAGGAAGGGGAAGATCCTGATTCTGCAGGCAGAGCCAGAGGTGGTAGATGGATGTGCTCAGGGTAGACCAGGTGGTTTCCCTCAGGGGAAATTTCCAGATTGGCTGAAGTGCTTCCAGACCACCATCAGATTCCCATCTGATCTACTCCTGTCACTCTAGGACACTGGAATTGGAGACCTCCTTAGCCCCCTGTGGAAACTGTAGCTTCCCTTTCTAGACAGGTCTCACAATGACATCATCAGAAATGAAGGCGCTACCACAGGTGACAGCAGCTCCCAGCCCGTACAGGACGCTGCAGCAGGGTCACTGGGGAAATTAAAACAGTAGATTCAGGAAAGCCTTCCTCAGACATCTATTTTCCTTCTTAATTGCCGACAAGAAGACCTGGACCAGGTGTTCAGTACCTGGAAATTTATGGGTAATTATTTGGCGGCTGAGCCCTGGGGTGTACTTGGGAAAAATCCTGTCAACTCTGAGCAGTGTCACCATGACAGGGATCTGACACGTACCTAAACAGGATCACTTTGTGGGCTTTAGAGGCAAGAACATCTGTTTTTCTCCGCACACTGGCTTTGATAACACCCCACCCCACGCACGTATTCTCCTCATCTGGCCCCTGTGGACCCGCTGGCTTTTTCAAAAGTCTGAGATATTTTGCTGAGCTGCCCCCTCCCCCCGAAAATAGGCCTGATTCTTCTGAAATTCAGCAGCTGGAACAAAATGGGATGGAAGGCAGCTAAGAAATCCTGTGAGAAGTAGGGATGGCAGCTTGGTAATAGTGACCCTGAAAACGGGGTCCACTGGAAGAACCTGGGGTCTTGGCAGAGGGGTGAGGTATCACTTTTCTTAAACAGGCCAGATGACATCTGTGGAGGGCCTTGCAGGTGCCCTGGGGATTCTGATGGAGATGCCCTGGGGGTGGGTGGCGGCAGGGAGACTCTGTGTTACTGTAACAAAATACTGGAAGCTAGATATTTTCTACAGAAAGGAGGTGGATTTAGCTCATGCTTTTGGAGATGTAAGTGGCTGGCGTCTGCTTGGCCCTGGTGGACTATGTTCTAGCTACCCCATGACCTGGTAGGTGACCTCACAGCTGGGCGTATGGCAAGACGGGAGGAAAGAGGCCAAGACTCGGAGGCGTCATTTATAATAATCCACCATAGGTTGCCACGGATGACAGACAGAGGTGGGGGTAGGTGCTGCTCAGTGGTAAGCATCGTGCCCAGGAGCCAGCGATGTCCAGATGCTAGGAGGTTAAAAGCTAATGTGAGTGGTCCTCATGGCTGATGAGCCCCTCAAGGGCAGTCGGGTGGTGACTTCCTGCTGCTTCGTTTCTAAAGGCCAAACAGTGGACTTGGTGTCAAGAACAGATATAAAGTCTCGGGGTATCAAAGGTCTAAAACTTAAAATGCCTCATGAGTTTTCTGAACCCTTGGATTCTGGGTCCTGCTTCTATTCATGAGAAGAGCCTTCTCAGGTCCACGAGGGGCTCGGTCCCTTCTAGGCCATGGTGAACTGGCTCTGCCACGGGGCAGTTTGGATGACATTGGTCCTGCAGGGGGAAAATGCATCCCTAAGGCCCCCTAAGTAATGCTGGAGACGAGGAGGGTCAGCCAGGGGTCCTCTGACCTCAGTGTGCCCAGGGTGGCCAGGTCCTAGGGGACAGATTCCCATCGAACTCCAGAGGCTCTCGGGGTTCACATCGGAGAGCCTACTTCCTTAGGCTGACTCTGTGAACTCTTCTTTCACACCAGCTAGCCCCCGCAGAGAAACGGAAGAGCGGCACGTGGTGGCCTGGGTTGCAGGCCCCTGGTAGGCACCAGCGCTTAGTACCAGGCTTGAACACTGTATAAACTTGTTATTTATGGTGGTTGATGCTGACTTGTGCTTGAGACAGTGGTATAGGAACTACCTTGGTTTAGATAACAGTTCTGGGTGACACCAACTTAAAAACCTGTAAGGCAGATACCGTGGGGACTTGAGGAACAGTGAAACCATGTGCAATCGCTTCTGGATGGGACTTGTCCTGGGACAGCTGGCTTCCATGACAGCCTCACAGGTATGAGAAAGTGAAAATAAAGGCAAGCTTAGGCACTCGATGTTGAAAGTCTGTAAATCTAGCTCCTGAGGTATTTGAGAACTTTGAGAAGCTCAGTTTTGTCAGGATGATCATCAAAAAGCAGAGTCAGCTGGGTGTGGTGGTGCACACCTGTAATCCCAGCAGCTGAGGATCATGAGTTCAAAGCCGGTCTCGGCAATGGCTGGAGAGGTGGCCCAATGGTTAAGGACATCTGGATTCAATCCCTGACACTCATACATATGTACGTAAATAAAGGCAAGATCATCAGCCCTTCCAAGAGTGTTCCAGAGACAGAATGAGGAAATGTAAACAGGCATGTTAACTGGGTGAGAGGGGTTTGGGAAATCTGCCTACTGTGTCCACCTCTCTTCCCCAGGGAGGTTCCCATATAATTTTAAGAGTCAGGAGTTCTGGACTCCGCTTAAAAATCTGTCTTGGGGATGTGGCTCAAGCGGTAGCATGCTTGTGGCCCTAGGTTCGATCCTTGGCACCACATAAAAATAAAAAAAAAAAATCTTGTTTTGTCCAACCTGGCATTTCCCAAATTGATTTGATGGTGGGAACTCTCTTTGGGAAGAAGGTTTGTCAACAACTTAAAGGACACGTGTTTAGGAGTCCTCAGCTGCTTCTGGTCCGATAGGACACTGCAAGCCAGAGGCAGAATCCTTATTATCTTTAGAAAAACAGCACAGCTACCTTTCCTGGGTAGACCAGACGCACGGTGTGAAATTCTCAAATAGAGTGTCACCTGGCTTGTTGACACCAGCTGGCTCTAGTTGCGACTGCCCATCGTTACTGATCTTATCCTCTAATTTGAAAGGAGAAGTCTGGGTGCCGTGAAAGGGATGCTTGAGGAATACAGGCTTTTTAAAAACTTTTCAGTGATGCCTGTCACTGGCTGGGAACCTGCTGCGGCTAAACACCTCCTTGAGCTCAGTGGGCGGCCCAGGTCCCAAAGGGGTTGGGCCTCAGACTGGATCAGTGTCAGCGGGATTTCCCTGGTCGACGTTCTCTTGGGGCCAACGGCTCCCCTGTCAACATCAGGGATCTCTTTAAAAGGTGCCTATGACCTTCCCAGAAACACTTGTGGACTGGGAAAACACACTGAAATATGACACAGCCGACCAAGCCCTGGAATTGGGTGTCCTTTTTTTCCTATTACCCTTACCAAAGGGACAACAACAAATAGAACTTAGCAAACACCAGAAAACCCCACCCAGAGTCCTCTCTGGCCTTTGCTTAATTTCTTCAAGATTCTCGTTAGCAAGCTTGGAGCACAAGAAGCAGTGGAACAGCATCTTTTCCCCTGCTGTTGAGCCCTCACTTGGAGAGACAGGTGGCCATGACATAGAGGTGAGGGGTTACTAGTGGGGAGGAGTGTGCAGATGACAGGGAGCCCAGGTTGAGGACTTGCTGAGCTCTGTCCTGATATGAAGGGGCGGAGAAGTGCCCTTCATGACGGAAGGGACTTCTGACAGTTTCCCTTGGCACCAAGCAGCATTCTGTGCTTGACACAAGGGCTCCGTACCTCCAGCTCCAGCTCCTCCCTGTCCATGTCCTGGTGCATGTCCCCCATGTAGTCATTGGGATCGTAGTACTCGTGGGCCGAGGGGTGCCTGCAAGGAGACGAGAGATGGGTAAGGCCAGGTTCCAGGGTGAGGCCCTTCCACCACTCTCCTCACTGTCCACTTTCTGGAAGAAGTTGAGATACAAAGCTCAAGTAGGGTGGGCTTGGTTTCTGGACTCATGCCCCAGCCCACATCATGGGGTTCAAGGTAACTGAGCTCTACCCTGGCCTCTGGGCAGGGGCTGGGTTTGTTATCTCTGGGGAGAAATAGGCTGGACTTGGGCAGCATTTCAAGATGCGTGCCAGGACCCGACTGAAGCTGTTCCACTGTCACCTAGGACACTGTCTTTTCAGATCTTACCCAGAAATGCACTTGACCACACAACTCTGGGCTGTGTGTGCACCTGCAGACCTGCATGTGCCATTCAGATAAGTGGACCCGCACTCGTATTTCTCTAGGACAATACCTGTGACACAGAGCCCACCCCTTTCTGGAAACATCTTTAATGGAACCTCTAGGGTGAAGGCAGTGGGAATTATAACGTGCTCTGTCAGTGGCTCCGGAAAGCCTTGGCTGGTGACCCCAGCCCTCACCTCCTCAGAGGTCAGAGCCTTCAGTGGGCTGTGGCACTTAACTTGGAAATAACAGCTCAGGCTTGAGTGGTCATTGCAATAAGGGCTGCCTTTCAGAGTCCTGGGCCCATCAGACAAATACATGGCCTGCACTTAAGAGGCTTTTAGGTCCCAGGGACGCTGCTGGAGGGGCTGGGCTTTCTGACCAACTTAACCGCTCCCTGCTTGTTCCCCATGCATGCTCCTGCCTCCCAGCCAGAACTGAGGAGGCCTGACCTCTGGACTCTTCCGACATTTCTCAAGTCGCCCCGGGGGATAATTCCTGTCTTGTTAACTAGGCTTCAGAGGAAATTAGGGGTTTGGCTTCTAAAAGGCCCGCCCGTCCCTGTGGCAGTTCACTATCCCAGAGTCGGGAGTGGCACCGTTGTGCTCTGTAATATCCACAATGGGCTGGGGCTCACTGGCCCTGCCTGTGTAGCAGGGACTGTGGTGGGAAAGGAAGGAGGTCACCAGGCCCTGTCTCGTGCTATCAGCTGCAGGGGAAGGTACTTTGGTGGTGCTGCAGATGCCCACCAGGAGGTACCCAGGTTTCCCCGCAGAGGAGAACAGACCTCTCAAAAAAACGCACCAAGCTGTTGTTGAGTCAGGGAGGACTGAGCTGGGGCTGCTCCCTTCACAGTCACGGGTGGGACTGAGGGAATTTCTTGCTCCTCACCTTTTCCTGAATGTTTGACGTCCTTCCTGCGGGCACGATTACTGCCACCCTTTCCTGAGCGGCCCCTACGCCAGGGCCTCCCCTGGTTAGTTAGGGATTGACACTGTTTTCCTCCCCCCTGTCAGTACAGGCAAGATGAGGTCCAGGGTCAGGCACTAGTCTGAGCATCGGGTTTATCTGATGCTAAGGTTCTGAACTCTGCTCACTGAGGGGAGAGTCCCGGCTGCCTGAGGGGGGCCACGGGTGCAGACGGCATCACCCCAGGACTCGTCTACTGAACGTTCCCCGCAGTAGCGACTACAAAATCAAGTTTTACTCCCAAAACAACTTTTACAACCTTGGTAAGTAATGTCATTCTTGGAATGTAATTTGAACAACTCCACTCCGGGCTTATAATAAAGTCATTAATACGTCAGAGCGGTTTTGAGCAGGATTCGATTTACGGCCTCTATAGACGATAGTTACATGTGAGCACCCAGGAGGAGCATTCTCACCTTCCCTTTCTTTATGGGACAAGTTGGTCACAGTAGGGTTACTTACTCCTCTGGCAGAAGGTAGGGGTCCAGGCCGGGTGGGCTGGGCGAGGACATCTTCGTCAAGGCCATGATGTGCTCGAAGGTGATGTCGGTCTGCGTGCCAGCGTCCACCAGCTGGGCCTCTGCTGGAGGAGTGAACATCTTGGTCCGGGGCGTCCTTCTCAATACCTGGACCACGATGGGCTCTTTGGCTGTCTTAAAGGCCTCCACCGCCTGGTCATGAGTTGCTCTGGATAAATCTTTGCCGTTGACCTGTTGAGAAAGGTTTAGGGTGGAGCAGGGTTAGAATCGAGCAGAAACCGGAAAGATGAGTCCCTGGCCCGAGTGCTTTTGGGTGTGAGTAGCCCAACAGGAGGGCCACGTGGTAGGGGTCAGAGCACTCCCAAAGAATGTCTGGTGGGAAGGGGTGACAGCAGAGGTCTACAGATCTGGCACTAAATAATAAATCTCACAGCAGGGGAGTCCCGGCTTCCCCCTGGAATGGCTTTTAATGCAATTTCATCGCTTGCTAATCTTGCCTGGCAAAGAAAAGACCAGCCCGAGGCTCCCAGACTTTATCAGGCAATAATAGCTAACTAGAAATTAATTACGACGCAAGGCTTCGGCGCCGGGCATGTGTCTAGTTGTGTTGGAGGATGAGAGCTTCCTCTGAAGGACGTGACTGCGCGCTGCCCTGTACCTTTCAGTCCTTCGCTTTCCTTCAAAAGCCCCCTGAAAACATTGAATGAAGGACAGCACCGGCCATCAGTGGGCACAGCAACTGACCACGGAGGGGAGCCACACATGCACCACGGCAGGAGGTGTTGCTCTGTCTCCCACCTTCACCAATGCTGTGGCCCAGTGCCTGTACTTACTGAGCGCCTACTGTCTACTGATGAGCCTCAACACTTCTCACTGTCCCACGAGACTGGTAGTACCTAGCATTCACCTCCTTCTCCCCAGTAAGTGACTAGGGCAAGGTGGGCCAGATGCGCTCAGGATGTTCCCCAAGCTACAATCAATACGGAGTCAACGCAGTGGTACCCGTAGAGCAGCTCATGCAAGATGGAAGCAGAATTTTATTTCTAGAAATGAAGTCATTCCAAGCACCACAAAGTCCCCCTCTTTAATTCCTCCTCTCTCTTCCCCATAAAACCAAGGACTCGTGTTCTGGTTGTAACATTTTGTGCAGGTAATCTGGTGACCCCTTATGATTGGATTATGGGAAACATGAGGCCCAAAATATTTTTCAGTCAGCTGATTGGCTTTGTGTAAAATTAAGGATAAAGTGTGTACAAATGGCAGCTCACAGGTACCTGAGACCCTCTGGAGAAGGATGCTGACTTGTTCTACTGCTTTTCATGGGCTTTCCTGAGTTGGACTCTTAGGTTAACAGCTCATTCTTTACGAATGGCCAAAGGACGATGGCCCCCTGGGCTTGTCGCTGTCAGCTCTGGGGCGGGCACGGGTTGGGGGCTGCTGCGTCTTCTAAACCCTTTTGCTCTGACACTATGGAACAACTCCTGGGGCGCTTTGTAAAAACTACTGAGTGGAGGAAGAGATGTCTGATTTGTTGCCCGGAATGAATTACGCCCATGGAGGTTGGGAATGGCTGGGACCCAGTCTATTTATGCAGAAGGACAAATCTAGGAGTCAACAGTCCCGGTAAATAAAGCAGGGGCTGCACCATCCCACTTAAAAACTGGGCAGGACCGGAGCGGCCAGCTTGATGATCCTGCCACTGATGTGTGATGGTAAGAGTCAAGTACAACCTGAGTATCCTTTATCAAGATACCAGGACCAGAAATGCATAAGGGTTTGGAGTATTTTTCTGGATTTTGCAGTAGTTGCTTAACCCTTCCCTGGCGGAGCATCCCCCATGAAAGTGACCCAACCTCCAAACTGCTCTCAGATCCCAGGCTTTTCGAGCACTATGACTCGAATGTTTTGGATTTCAGAATTAGAGTACAATATTCTAAAAGCAGTTGCAAGTTAATGGCACAAGTAGGAGACGTGTCCAATGCACCACCCTCCTACCCAAGGTGTTTACTTGTGGTCACGTTGGACATTAAGATTTCTGAGTGTAGAACCTGTCCATTTCCTATTTACACAGGACCACCCGGCCTTTTGCCCAGATCTGAGATTATCTTCCTCAACTTCCCGTTCTCAAGAAAGCCAGAGCTAAGATACAGGAGGGCAGTTGGACCTGGGAGTCGCCCTCTGACCCGCCTGATTCTGACAGATGCCGGTCAGCTGCATGGTCTGCACACAACCTTCCCTCCGTGCTTTTTGCCAAGAGAGTCACCTTCTGCCTAATGATGGACTTAGATATGAGCTTGTAAAGTAATGGGCTGAGAGGAGAAGGGCAGATGCTAGGGAGCTTGAGGTTTTTTCCAGTGGTTACATTGGAATGGGGTGGCCTCTCTCTGGACTATAGGTCTGCATGTGTTCCTTAGACTTGTGCAGCACCTTGGGAACAGCGTCAGAGGCCATGCTGATACTCTGAGATTCGGGGCTCTGGCAATACCGCTGTGTGCGCTTGAAGCTTCTGTCTTACACACTCATCACACTGGACCCGGCCGTGCACACGTTTCAAGCCACGTGACTGGGATTTGAATGACCCACAGTCCAAAACACCATCACAGAGGGACAGTGTAAGATGAGGCATGAGTATGTCTTTAGGGCCAATTGAAAAATACTCTACTCTAGGGAGACGGCTTTTCTCATTATGAGCCAATTGAACCAGTGGCTCTAACTTTGGCAACTAGAGTTTATTAAGTGAACTTCATAACCCTGTGCTACCACACTGAGGGGCTATTTAAATGGCATCGGGAGGAGACCAGGTGTCTGTTTACCCAGTCACTGAAGGCTCCTCCTGTCTGCCCTTGGGTGGTGTTTAAAGACATGGGGGCAAGGACCCGGGGGCATGTCTGCACCTGGATGTGGAAGAATACCTGTTGCAGCCCCAGAGGGTGACCTGGAACTTTGGGGAGACCTAAAAATGTGCTTTCGTGGACCTTTTGGCATCATTATTGGGGCAGAATGTCACCATTGCTTATGGCTGGGTCCACTGGAAGGGCAAGACTGTCAGAACCCCTAGGGAATAATTCTAGCAGTCTAGTGTTAGTTTTCCATCATTCAGAGGTGCTCCTTTCTTAAAGAGCTCAGCGCAATTTTACTGTTTCCTCAGATGCAAAATAGATGATTGACTCAGATTGCCTAATGTGGCAATAATAAAAATGCATTCTCAGTGCTAAGGGAGTGCCTGTACCTTCCAAAAAGAAAGCCGCACACTTGAGCCTGTTCAGGGGGGGTGAAGAGTCTCGCATGTGCTGTGAGGCTTCGCCCTCCTATGTTCCTGGGCTTCCCATAGATGTGAATATTTCTGACCTAGACTTGGGATTCTCGGGGATGAGGAGTGGGGCTCGCAACAGATAAATTTTACAGGACTTGACCCCTGCCAGGCAGGATTCTTGACAAGGTATTTTAGGGATCATTACATTCTCTTAAGACGATGTGACGAGGCGGGCGTTTACTACCCTAGCCGATCCATTTTTGCAGCCAAATTTGTTTTGAATTACCTTGTGCACATAACACTTATTACACTGTCATCCTGGAAATCCCATCACCACGAGACTCGGCAAGGTGATGGCTCCAGTGCGTGCTGCAGTCAACCGAGAATGACAGCCTTTATTCTCCGGATTAGCATCGCATCTACATTACACGGAACGGCAGCGCTGATGATGGCTACAGTTAGAGACGGGGGTGCGAACGGTGACGTTTGGCCCCGGTCAAATTAAATATCATTAACTCGCCCAATTGAGCAGCTTGCCTTTAAAACCGTTTATGCCGCTCTAAAACCAAGTAAATGGAATGTTTGGGAACAAGAAATGCTGATTGCAAACTTTATTATAAATTAAATGTCTAAGTTATTCACCTATGGCTCATCCCCCCAGGACGGAGGTGCAATTATGGTGTGAATCTAATCAGTGAGTCTCAAAGCTACACTGTTGCAAATGGAACCTGACACTAAGGAGTCTTCAGGAGGGGCCTGGTGTGAGCACTCCTGGGACAAGACAGTAGCAGAGGGTCTGGTTCCTTCCTGGGGCCACTGCTCTTTGCAGGAAACGCTTGGCAGGTGTTCCCGGGGGGTGCCACTTAAGAAATGGTCAGAAGAATGCAGGAGGAGGAATTTGACTTAGCTGAGGTGGCCAGGCTGCTCTGAGACGGCACCTGCAGGGAGACTTGCTGGTCCAATGGCCCAGAAAGAGGTTCACGGTCCCCCTGAAATATCACTGATTGCTACTCTAAGGCAGTGACACCTTTCAACACCCCGGGGCCCAATATTCTGTATGACTTCATTGTAAGCAGTTTGGGGTATTTTAAACCATCCTGTCTTCAGCTTAGAAAACACACAGCTCTTTATAGATGTTAGCTCTTCAGTGGATCAGCACATCGCCATCCCCTCTAGTGCTACAACATGTTCAAATGACCCAGTGTAAAATGCTAATGCAGTTCTCAATTCGGCCCACTGTAAATCGTGCCCTGGGCTAGAAACCCTACTTTTATAGGGATCATTTAATTAAATACAGGGGCAGTGGTTTCATCCTATAAAACATCACACCTATATTTTCAAACTAATTAAAACTTACACAATGGTCTATTGTTTCCAGTATAGAATCTATTATCATAAACTACAGTTTCGAGCTGTGATTTAGGTGGGATAAAAAAGTGCTTTTTTGATCCCGGAAACTTCTGTTTAATTTATTTCAATTTTATGGGCTGCTTTATAGAGCCCGATGGAGGGAAGGCAGCTTATCGCTAATCTAGGCATCATGGCAGTTGGAGAATATGTCTTGACAAACGTGATTCCAATACTGTGTGCCTGTGGACAGTACTTCCCTTTGTGAATAGCCCACAGTGTCACAGATCTCAAGTCCTCTGTAGTGAAAACTTGGATCTGTATGGGTAGCTTTGGGCCCTAGTAGGGATCTCTGTGGAGTCTATGGGAACTTCTAAATGCACCTGGTGCGTTTCCATGAGTACACAATCCCTCCTGAATCCGTTCCCAGAATCCTGTACAGATGAAGTTGTCCCTTAGTAATTTTCATCTTAGATGGGTCTTCCTTGTGTCTCACATTTTAAAAACCTTTACTAAGAGGTTCATAGGATGTACAGCCTGTATTTAGAAGGTGGTAAAGAAATAAATGATGAGCCTTAAAGAAACAGACTAAAACACCCCCCGCATATATATGCTTAATTTTTCAAGACAA